AATTATGACTGAGTAATCTCAGCAGAACCTTGGCCAACTTATCTCATATAACGGATGAGCAAGTGGTTGATTGGATTCGAAAATCCTTAATCTGGCGACTTTTCTCCTTTTTTTAGATGTCAGATAGTGAAGTTGAGAGATAATATTTAAATTTGTTCAAGTTTTTAGGCCTTACTACTCCAATTTTCCTTTTAGTCTAAACTTTCCTAAGATTGTAGCAAAGAAGTTTTGTGCAAAATCATCTTACCCTTTGTCATTACTTCCCCTTTCCATAGACTTGCCCCTCGCTAGAGATTTTTTGTTTTTTGGTAAAGCTATCATTCAGGCTGATGTCAGTATGGATGGTGCACTGGCGGAACCACGTGCAGTCCATCAGTGTAATATCTGTAACAAAATATTCGTATCCTTTAAAGGTACTCAGCTATAAAAATAAAAAAAAAACATATGAAAAAGGTCCTTTTTCTAGGTTTACAACAACATGCCGTGATACACACAGATCAAAAGCCCTATCAGTGCGATATCTGTGGGAAATCGTTCCGATTCAAATCAAATTTATTCGAACATCGTTCAGTACACACGGGTTTCACACCTCATTCATGTCCATATTGTGGCAAAACATGCAGGTAACAGTTTTGGAAAAAAAAATTTTCACTAGCTAAAAAATTTGCAGTCATAATGCGATCATTATGGGAAGGTCTTTAGAAATTCAGTTTTTTTTCAGAGGAGAAACTTCTATTGCTTACCAGCAACAGCGAATTGTTGAAATTGACTTATGTTGGCTTTCAGAGAACTTACACATCCAGAATGCATATGAAACCTGACTAAATAGGCCATGAGTCTTTTCACCGTTTGTCAAATGAATTTCGATTCTGTCAACTTTCGTCTTAATTTCTTCTTCTATTTATGTGCGCATAATATTAAACTATATCTTAGTTGCGTGAGGGCTTGCTATGAAGCCACTATTTGTTGTACAAAATAGCTTAGCGCACATCTGAGACACGTAAGAGTCAG